AGCGCCTGGCGGGTTTCCCCGCGGTGTCTCTCGGCTGGCGCTGCTCCTAATCTTAGGCACCCAGGTACCCCGAGGCAAAGCGCCCTCCTCGGACGCCTTGGAGCGTGTCGCCACTGGCGAGGCCGGCGTAGGGGTATACCCTGTACGCTCGAACGCCTTGGCCTTGCTGGCGATGCAGCCACTCCGGCTAGGCTGTCGCCTGCGGATCTCCAGGGAGTCCTGAGGCTGTTGCCTGGGGTCAGGTCTCTGCGCAGGCATTGCTCGAGTTGGTGACTGCGGCACTTCGGAGAGGGGCCTCCCAATCTGCACATCGAACCCGAGCTCCTCTGAGCGGGTAGAAACTTTCTGTCTTTCACCCGAAGGCGTCCTAGGTTCACGAGTCTCGCTTTTGGCCTTTGGGATCGTTGGGGGCTTCTTTGCTTCAGCTTGTGACTCCAGCAGCATTCGGCGAGTTGCCTCGCGGGCGCGCTCTTCTGCCACTCGCTTGCGCTCTGTCTCTGCTTCGGCTCGTTGAACCTCATGCTCGTCGTCACTCGTCATCTCGTACGTTTGGGCCTGACTGGAGACACCAGGCGGGTTTCCCCGCGGAGATCGAGTCTCCTGGGCAGCAAGGCTGCTGTGGCCCGTGGTTCCGAGACGGCGATTGATCGCATCGATCTCTTCTTGGGTCATAGGCACAAGAGGTGGATGACCCTCCTTTGCAGGAGCGCGGCCCCTGCTCGGGCTTAAGACGTCATTGAGGCCTACAGGACAACCAGGTGTGTTCCTGGAATGCCTGTGAGCACGGACCGCAGACAGCATTGGGCCTGTAGCGGCGGCGCTCCTCGATGATGGCTCTCAGCTGTTTCCGCGCTGCCTCTATCTCAGGACGTCGAATGTTCGTCGCGAGCTGATTGCCACCCCGTATGGACCTGCCTTGGGCGCCCCTGTAGATCGGGTTGCCCTGTCCAAAGGCAGAGTGCCCACCCGTTTGGCGCCTGGGGTCGTTGTAGGCGAGCAGCTGGCCCCCCCGTCGAGCGGCATGCTCTGATGGGGCTGCCTGCCCCCATTCACGTGGGAACCGTCCTTGGGGGTGCGGATCGCCCCTAAGACGCGGATGCGAGCGAGACCTCCTGGCCTGTTCATCGGATGATGCTGCTGGCATAGCCTGAGCAGGAGCTGACGGGGTTCCCGGGTAGGCGTAGGCAGCGCATCCTGGGCAGGCAGGTCACCCTGCTGACTGCAGTCTGGTATGATTGGCTCTTGTGCGGATGGTTGTGCGTCAGGAATGTCTGGGTCGAAGTCCACCTCCTCGTCTTCGCCATTGACGTCCATCATGAGGATGGTGGCCTCGTCCTCGCACAATCCACATCCGTCATCATCTTCAACTTCTAAAGTAGGATTGCCAATGACAATGGTCATTGGCCCAGCCGGGACGGGCAGGTTTCCCTGCTGTAGAGGCGCCTGAGCACCGCTAGGCTGTCCCGGCGTCGGCGGCGCGGCGGTCGGCTCAGGCTCGTTGCGGAGCACGGCGTGCGCCTCAAGCTGATCATAGTCATAGGAGGGCTGCCCGATGACGTTTCGCATGGCCGCATGGCTGGGCTGTAGTCCCACCGCCTGGAGACCCCATCCCGGCGGAGGAAGCGCCTGTCCACGCATTGCGATAGCCCTCTCAAGGGCTTGGCGCCAACGCCCCTTTGCATACCATACGCGTCGCTGCACGCCGTCAGGGAGCACGCTGTCGATGAGAGTGAGGGCCGCCAGCAGCAATTCCGAGTCGTCACAGACATCGGAGTCTTGCAGCATCATGTGGCCGCTCTCGACGCTCTGTTGACTATCATGATATTATTCGGCTTCAGCGGCGTGCATCTGCATGAGGGTCTGCAACACCGTGCATGGCCCGTACTCACCCGGCGCGAGCATACCAGGTGGCTCGCGAGGATTGCCTGGCACGCCCACGGTGAAAGCTTTAGCCTCCAATCCCATCTATTCGCAATAGTTCGGCGGATACACTGGAGTAGGCCTGTTTCCGGGCATGAGGTCAGATTGCCGTCGAAGGTTGTACTCGACCTCCGAAGGTGAGGCCTCAACAGTGACGTCCTCGTCGCTGCTCTCGCAGGCCATGATGTTACCTGGATTGCCGAACATCCAGTCGAAGAAGGAAAGGGGCTGGTTTCCCAGCGTTCCGTTTTCCACAGGCGTGAGCTCGATGGCTCCGAAGATGAACCTGCGGAGGTACTCGAGGTAGTACGCGTAGAGCCCGTGGCTGCACGCCTCGACCTCGTCCAGAGTGTCCACGTTACTGACCCAAGTGTAAAATATCTGTTCCACAACCTCGAAGTCTTGGAGGCTCAGATACTCAATAGCAGGTCCACTTGAGCCTAGATGGACTTCGGACGATCTACCCTTTCCTTACCCCTTCACTGGACAATCCTTTACAAGGTTATCGGTACTTTCACACTCATGGCACTTCAAGATCTGGCCGTCTCTACCTCGCGGGTTTCCCGCCTACCTTTGCCTTTGCCCGGGGTTCCCCCGCGGCCTTTTTCCACGGCCTTTTCCCTCGAAGAACATCTCATCATACTGATCATCCGAAAGCCTCTGGAGGAAAGCCGTGATGCCTCGTCCGTTCAACCTTCGGCGACCCCGTTTGCCTGTGCCTTTTTCCTTTGAAGCTCTTCCGCATCCCCCTCCTAACACGACGCGCTGGTTTTCGTGTGAACCTCCCCCACCTACGCTTCGCTTGTTGTAATAACCAAGATAGATGCTCAGCGCGCTGATTACCACCTTCCATTTGCATCATATCTGACCAGTCTAGCGGTTCGATGCCATCTGATGATATCGCGTCGGTGTCGGTGCCTGAGTCGAAACCGTCGTTACCTAGGTAGGTGGTCACACCGTCGTTTAGGGGGTTCGCTTCTCCCCATAGAGAGCGGTGAGGCTGAGGTTCTCTAGGAGGAGGGCTGGTTGCCCAGCTTGGTTGTGAACGATCCCCAGGTAGTAGGGCAGTAGATTCGCAAGGATCGTCGGCCCATCTGTTTGTGGGCCCGTGCCAGGCTGAGCTTCAGAGGTTAAGGTAGTAAAGAAATTGCCACTGCCAGTTCCCCTTGCCCTTCCAAACACTGGTCCTATGTTGCCAGGAGACCGTTCTGACAAATGGCCTATCGAGCGTATCCTCTCACACAGTTATTCATGCTGTTGTTGTGTTCGGGGTATTTGGTGGTTGAGCGGTTGTAAGAGTTGCATGGCTCGCTGGTTGCCAACGCCTAGGGCGCGGAATAGGATGGTCGTAAGCAATTGGAAGTTGGGAAAGTCAGACCCACCGATTGTGCCTCAAGGCGGGCCATTTCGAACCGAGTAAGGGTTACGTCGATTCGTTCTCCGCGAGGCACATGCAAGTCGACGAGCTGTGTGCCTGAGGTGAGCTGACGCTCATCTTCCAGGCGTTCGAACTTCATGCTTAGGAGGAACATGATATATGTTACTGGGTCGGTGTGGACACCATCGATGTCCGCACCATAGTTTATGATGTCAGGTGGTACCCTCATGGCGAGTGTCCTCGCGAGGCAGCCCAGGCCGCGTTGTATGGCGGCTGCTTGGGCTTGTGGCGTCATGCGTCCACTCGTGACGTTAAGCCACGCGTTGACCTCGTAGACGTACTCGCGAAAGGGTACGTTGCCTTGGGGGTCCCAGTATGGGCCATGTGTTTGCCCATCGGTACTATTATCTCCTCGGCGCATGTGTCCGATTGCCGCCCCTAGCGCAAACCATATAATGGCGAAGATAACCAACCCTAGGCTGTGGAGGTATGGGTGGTTATCGGGCGCGTTGCCGCGCTGGGGTAGGGCTTGTAGCGCCTTGTCAAATCTACGAGGCGCTTGATCTTGCGGGTCTCCCCGCCTACGCTTCAAGTACTGCGCTTTTGGCTCGTTGCCGAGCGTAACGAAGCGTATATGGTACCAATGTTGTTGTCTAGACGTCGTACCTCTCGTGTTGCTTCTTGCTCTTGAATTGATCCTCGTAAATGTCGGTGGAGGGCTGGCGCAGGGTAGAGATTGGTCACGAGGATCGTGCCGTGTAGCGTGAGGATAAGAAGAGCAAGAGCTGACCACACGAGAGTGCGGCCAGCTCCGCTACCAAATCTGAAATGACTCTGGTAGGTCATATTGCATCCAATCCCATGCCGAAGGAATACGATATGGGGTGTGGATGAGTAAGATCGGATAGTATCGATGTAATGATCTTTCCAACACGTAGCGAAAACCAAGTCAGGTATCCGGGCAAATCGGGCGCGCGCGCCTTGAGCAAAAATGGCAGCGACGCCGAGGCTATACTCCCGATTATCTATAACATCTCCCAAAAAGCTACCCTTAAAGTTGCTGTGCTGAGCTGTGCTGTGATGTGCTGCGCGGTGCCGAGCTGAGCTGAGCTGTGCTGAGCTGTGCTGTGCTGTGCTGTGCTGTGCTGCGTTGAGCTGTGCTGTGCTGTGCTGTGCTGTGCTGTGCTGTGCTGTGCTGTGCTGTGCTGCGCTGTGTGAGAAGGAGAGAGAGGTGAGGTGTGAGTGTCGCGGGTGCGGCGCGGCAAGGAAGAAAACCAGAACCCCACGAAGCATGTGGGGAATAACCATTGCGCCTGTTGCTCTTCCGTGAGGTATGTAGGCATATGAGCAGTGCTGTGAGGAGGAGGGGAGGTGTGAGGTGAGACGCGGGTGCGACGCGGCAGGGAAGAAAACCATAACCCCACTAAGCATGTGGGGAAATACGAAAAATGCCCCAGAATTGTCAGACAAATATTCAGAAAATAGTCCCCATATTATTTGTTGACTATTTTTGAATACTCCCCCTGTAGAGGGACAGGCCCGAGTTAACCCCAGGCAAGAGTGACCTTGCTGGTGCGCGGCTTCCCGGGGGACGCGGGGTGGCAACACCTGGGCGCGCAGGCCGCTGCTGCCGCTTCGAGCTCGGAGATCGGGGGACCCCACTGGGCCCGCACCAAAGGTCAAACCCGGCGAAAGGTCACTCGTCACTCCCCAGACCCCCGACGCCGTGCTGTCTTTGCAGCGCCGACCCCGAGAGGTCTGGACCCCTTCCCCGGGACTGGCTTCTCACCCCGAGCCGTTCTCTGACGCTCCGGAGGCCCGGTGAGGGCCCCCGAGGGCCGAACACAGCGAAAGACCTCCCGTCGCCGTCTTGTCTCAGCGCGAGGGGGCCCGGGTCTGCCACTCGGCCGAGCGGAGGCCCGCTCTCGGGCGGAAGGCCCGCCCCGGGCCGCTCCCCGCGCGGAGGGGCCTCCTCGAGGGTGCGCGGGCACGGAGCGGCGCCGCCCACACGCCGCGCGCGGGGGGGGGCCTCGCCCACGCTGCACGCCCCCCGCGGGGCCTCCCGCGGGGCACCGCCTGGTCCCCCCTGCTCCCAGGGGCGCAGCCTCGCCCCCCCGATCGCCGACGGTTCGGGCGTTGTGCTCAAGGGTTAGGTCGGGCGTGTCCTCCTACAGGCGGTTTTCGGCACAAAGATAAAAAAGACTCAAAACAAATCCAAAAAGTATTCAAACATGTTAGAAAAATCGTCCACAGACTATGTTCTGACTATTTTTGAACATTCCTCCTGTAGAGGCACAGGCCCGACTGAACTCACGGGGGGGGGGCGATCAGGTGCGGGGGCGGGGGAGAAGCGTGCCCCTCTCGCGCCCCTCTTGGGCCTCAGGAGTCCCCTTTCGGGCCCCCGTTCAGGGCACAGATGGTGCACCTCTGCTCACCTCCCCATGGATCGCCCCCCCCCCCCCCCTCGCGCAGCGCCGGAGCGATGTGGCTGCTGCTCCGTCCAGGCGCCGCTCCTCGGGCCGTGGTCGGGCCCCCAGAGGCCACCAAAAACATGGAGGCCTCCTGGCTGGGATCCGAGAAGATGGGGTCGGTGGATCGCGCTGCATCGCCGATGCATCACCGATGTATCGCCGATGCATCGGCGACGTCGGCGGTGCATCGGCCCCCTCTGCGAGGCCGATCCCCGACGATGTGGTGCCCATTCCACGCGGGTCCTCTTCCTCGGGCCGTTCTCGAGTTGAGTCGGGCATGTTCCTCTACAGGAGGAATTGTCAAAAACCGTAAAGAACTGGTCTGGAGACGATTTTTTGCATATGTTTGAATCATGTGTTTGCATGTATAAGTTATTCTTAATTTTTATCCAAAATCCGCCTGCAGGGGAAACGCCCGACCTATTAGGGGCCACCGCGAGCCCCGGGGCCACCACGAGCAGACCGGGGGCGACACAGTACCCCCCGGGGAAGCTGTCGGGCCCTCTGTGAGGCCACGGAGCGACGAAAAAAACAGCCCGTCGGGCGTCTGGGTCGACGACCCTTCCTTCTCCCGGCCTCCCCCCCGCGGCGAGGACAGCAAAAAATGGCGGCGCTCCGTCTGTGGCCGGCTGCGCACCTCCGCGCTGCCCCCGAGCGCACGGCGCTGGAGCGGCCGCCTGGCCGGCGTGCTTCCGCGTCCCCGCACGAGCGATGAATTCTGCCCCAGCGCACTCGCGTCGCCTGGCACCAGGCGGCACTCCCAGACCTCCTCGCGCTGTGAAAAAATCACGACAATAGGTTTTTCGTTATTTCCGGCTGCGCCAGGGGCCATTACTGGGCCTTAGGACCGTCAAAAACGACTCAGGGCGAAAAACCCGTCCCGAGGAAGGGATCTAGACCTCTGGGGGTCGACGCTATGAAAAAATCAAACGTCGGGGGTCTGGGCTCTCAGCCTTGCCGTCGTCCGCCACCGTGCCGCAGCTAGGCATGGTGGGGCGTGTGAGGATGCTCCCCGGTTGCCTGGCAGTGCTTCTTTAGCGTTCCTGTGGCCGACCCCCCCCCAGAGCCCACCCTCAGAAAACCACTCCTGGCTTTCTGGTGCCTTTGCGGCCTCCATACGGCTCCAAGACAGCTGCCCAACACGGCTGCAAGAAGTCCCAGGACAAGTTCAAAGATGGTCGACAGAGTCCGAAATATGCCTCCAGCGCGAAGAGGCGAAAATAGTTGAAAACCTACAGACGATCAATGTTGTTTTGCTCCCTGGGCCTTTTAGCTACAGATCGCCCTGGGGTACCTTCAGAGAGCAGAGAGGCTCAAGAAGCCCCGAAGACGGCTCGAAACTGGTGCCACATAGAGCCCTCAGAAGCCCCCCAGACAGTCGAAAATTGAATCTTAAACTCAAGCTCCTTCACGCAGCGCTACTGCACTGGCACGGTGGCGGGGTTCTCCGCAGGCAGCTGGATACGCTATGCGCAACGACAATCCAATCATGCATGCCGCCATCCGTGGACGCTGCACCACCCTCCAGGCGGTGCACCGCTAACGCTGACAATTCGCCGCCTACGATCATCATGCATTCCCCCATAAGCATACCCCGCCTAACGTTACCTGCGACCCTACTAAAAAAGCGAAGCCCTGTAGTAACCTCGCATGAGGCAGGAATCGAACAGGGCCTGACTGCTGTGAACGCCAAGGACGGTTCGGTGAACGCCACAACCATTGAGGCGGGGGTGTCTTATCCCACCTTGAAACAAAGGAAAGGACATTGAGGAACGACAAACAGCCCACGAGTGCGTACTCTTTCGGGGTCTGCGTTCGGCGCTTGCACACTTTGCCCTCACGGGAAGAGCTCACAAGGAAGGCGGAGGAGGGATCACGTATCCTTTTCGACATATCCCCGATGTGGGGTGATCGTCATTCGTGTGACATCCCCATCTCCCCAATTTACCTTGCAACTCTCCATTCCCCCGCCTGCAGACATACTCATACTCGGACACGCGCGTACGCATATTCATTCATACTCAGACTCTTCCAAACTCAGATACAGTCACACTCAGGCTTACTCACACGCAGACTCATGCTCATACTCAGGCCACTCATTCATAACCAGGCGCTCAGATCCATACTCTGATTTACTCGTAGCCAAACCTACTGACACTCAGCTCCACTCTTGGTCAGGCCCCGTCACGCTCAGACTCTCTCATGCCCAGACACATCCACACTCAGCCTCCCTCGCAGAAAGATCACCCACAGCCACTCTCACTCATAATCAGATCCCGCTTTGACCCAAGAGTCGAGCCCCCCAAGGGGAAACCGCCAGCGGGTAGATACCAGCCTCGCTGACGCACAAGTTACAGGAACCTGTCAGGTAAAACGCCTGCTGCGGCTCGATAAACAAATATCTTTCCAGAACCCCGTGATCACCGCGACGTACAGGCAATCGCATGTGGCCCGCCCGATGGAGAACCACCGCGGCGTGTATCACAGACCTGGTCGCGCCCAGGTCGCGGAGACATCTCAAGCATAACGCCCGCTTAGACCCAATAGACGAATGTCTTTTCACAGTCACATGACCACCGCGATGTAGCAGGTGCCGCACTTGGGCCTCCAAAAGGGGGAGCCGCCATGTGGGGGAGAGTACGAGGAAGGAGGACGGCGAGTCCCAGGGATGAGCACGGGGAATGTATGTCACAAGAGCGATGGGTACACGTCGTTAATTTCCAATCGTGCTCGTTTCTAAGTGTGCTCCTTTCTAATTGTTCCTGGCCCCAGTGGCCAGGAATAGGCCCAGGACAGAGCACTCAGACACGAAAGGATCTTGGCCTCCCCCCCCCAAAAAAAAAAAGGCAGAGAACTTCCGAAAAAAACAGACATGAACAGTGGGTATGGGAGGCGAGGGCGAGGGTTAAGTCGGGCCTGTCCCCCTACAGGGGGATTTCCGAGGAAAAATTAAACATACTCGAACAATAATCCAACAAAGAGGCAAACCAATACACCCAAAATCGTCCCCAGACTATTTTTTCTATTTTTGAATCTTCCTCCTGTAGAGGGACAGGCCCGACTTAAGGCGAGGGGCACGGGGAAACCGGGCGAAGAAAGCAGGAGAAGTCGGAACGACGAACACGAGAAGCGAGGACGATGAATGCGATGAGCGAGCACGAGGGGCGAGGGAGGAGGGCACGAGGAGCGAGATCGGGGGGCGCCAAAAGAGGCGCGGTGGGTGCGAGAATGCACGACGAGGACCACATGGAGGAGGAGGAGCGAAGACGAAGGCGTGTTGAGAGATCTCGCTGTGGGACATGTTAGCCAGCGTGGACCCCAGACAGTGATGCGTTGCAGTCTAAGCGGTGCAATCTAAGTGGTGCAATTGACTACCCTGCACCGCGCTTGACCACTCCACTGCTCGCGCAAACATCCCACCCATCCACCCGCAACTTGGTTCGCAAAATCTCTTAAGACCGAGACGGTGGGTACCAAATGGCACTTGCCAACGACAGCGACGCCGACGACGACAGCGACAACGACGACGACGACGCCGCCGACAACGACTACGACGACACCGACGACGTCTCCAACGACTTCGACGACGCTGACAACGAGGACGACGACGACACCGACGACGACGACGACGCCGACGCCGACGACGACGACGACGACGACGACGACGACAACGACGGTGGCGACGACGACGACGACGCCGACAACGACGACGAAGACGACGACGACGCCGACGCCGACGACGACGACGAAGGCGGCGACGACGTCGCAAACGAAGACGACGACGAGGGAGGAGGGAGGACGACGACGGCGACAACGGCGACAACGACGACAACGACGAGGGATGAGGGAGGACGGCGACGACGCGAACGACGAAGAAGGAAGGACGGCGACGCCGACGACGACAACGACGAGGGAGGAGGGAAGACGACGACGACGACAACGACGACGACGACGACAGCGACGAAATAGGAGGGACGACGACGAGACGCCGACGACGGACGACGACGACGACGAGGGAGGAGGAGGAAGGACGACCACGGCGACAACGACGACGGAAACGACCACGACGCCAAAGAGGACGACGACGACGAACACGAGGAAAGACAGAGGACGACGTAGGCGACGACGACGACGACAACGACGCGGGCGGAGGGAGGACGGCGACGACGACGACGACGACGACGCAAGAGCGCGCGCGCACGCTTTTGTTGAAAATCCGTGTTGCGAAACCTTGGGTTTTGTATGTTTTTTGGACTCACGATTTCGAAATCCTTCCGAAACCGATGGGTTTTGAAGGATTTCGGCGTACGCGCGCGACCACGCGCGCGTCTGCACTTCGTCCCTTTTTTGCAAAGGATTCTCGCGACGGCACACGCGCAAGGGCGTTCGACAGATTTCGTCATGCGCGCGCGAAGCCCGTTTGGTAGCATTTGGTGAAAATCTTGAAAAACCGATGGTTTTCTTAAGCTTTCGCAGGAGCTCGCGCGGAAGCTTTTTTAGCAAATCAGTGTTGCGAAGCAATGTGTTTTTGTATGTTTTTTTGGAAACTCGATTGCGAAATCCCTCCAGCACCGAAGGTTTTTGAAGGATTTCGGCATGCGCGCGCGACGACGCATAGTGTTATGTTAGAACAAAAAATGTCACCGCATAGTGTTTTTTACAAGGGACCCTCAGGGGGGGAACTGGCCTGCCTGGGATGGTATGATTTCAGATGTAGGATGGACGAGTGTGCAGAATATATATATATATATATATATGAAATTATATTATCCCAGGGGGAAACGTTAAGTCCGGGGGGGGGGGAGAGTCTATTCTCTTTTTAGAAAGGAGAACCCATGTGGTCCAATCTATGTGGTGCAATTGACTACCCTGCACCGCGCTTGACCACTCCACTGCTCGCACAAACATCCCACTTACCCACCCGCAACTTGGTTCGCAAAATCTCTTAAGACCGTGACGGTGGGTACTACATGGCACTTGCCAACGACAGCGACGCCGACGACGACAGCGACAACGACGACGACGACGCCGCCGACAACGACTACGACTACGACCACACCGGCGACGTCTCCAACGACTTCGACGACGCCGACAACGACGACGACGACGAGGACGACACCGACGACGACGACGCCGACGCCGACGACGACGATGAAAACGACGACGACGATGACGACGCCGACGACGACGACAACGACGACGCCGGCGACGACGACGACGACGACGTCAACGACGCCGACGCCGACGACGACGACGACGACAACGACGGCGGCGACGACGACGACGCCGACAACGACGACGAAGACGACGACGACGCCGACGCCGACGACGACGACGAAGACAACGACGACGTCGCAAACGAAGACGACGACGAGGGAGGAGGGAGGACGACGACGGCGACAACGGCGACAACGACGACAACGACGAGGGAGGAGGGAGGACGGCGACGACGCGAACGACGAAGAAGGAGGAAGGACGGCGACGCCGACGACGGCAACGACGAGGGAGGAGGGAAGACGACGACGACGACGACGACGACGACGGCGACGAAATAGGAGGGACGACGACGAGACGCCGACGACGGACGACGACGACGACGGAAACGACCACGACGCCAAAGAGGACGACGACGACGAACACGAGGAAAGACAGAGGACGACGTAGGCGACGACGACGACGACAACGACGCGGGAGGAGGAAGGACGACCACGGCGACAACGACGACGGAAACGACCACGACGCCAAAGAGGACGACGACGACGAACACGAGGAAAGACAGAGGACGACGTAGGCGACGACGACGACGACGACAACGACGCGGGCGGAGGGAGGACGGCGACGACGACGACGACGACGACGACGACGCAAGAGGGCGCGCGCACGCTTTTGTTGAAAATCCGTGTTGCGAAACCTTGGGTTTTTGGAGGTTTTTTGGACGCGCGATTTCGAAATCTTTCCGAAACCGATGGGTTTTGAAGAATTTCGGCGTACGCGCGCGACCACGCGCGCGTCTGCACTTCGTCTCATTTTTTGCAAAGGATTCTCGCGACGGCACACGCGCAAGGGCGTTCGACAGATTTCGACATGCGCGCGCGAAGCCCGTTTGGTAGCATTCGGTGAAAATCTTGAAAAACCGATGGTTTTCTGAAGATGTCGCAAGAGCTCGCGCGGAAGCTTTTTTAGCAAATCAGTGTTGCGAAACCATGTGTTTTTGTATGTGTTTTGGAAACTCGATTGCGAAATCCTTCCGGCGCCGAAGGTTTTTGAAGGATTGCGGCATGCGCGCGCGACGACGCGCGCGTGTGTACTTCGTCTCATTTTTTGCAAGGAATTCGTGAAAAAGTGCTATGTTAGAACAAAAAATGTCACCGCATAGTGTTTGTTTACAAGGGACCCCCACGGGGGGGGAAACCGGCCTGCCTGGGACGGTATGATTTCAAATTTAGGATGGACGCATATGCAGAATGTATATATATATATACATATCTACATATATTTATATGTATATATATATATATATATATATGAAATTTTACTATCCCAGGGGGAGCTGATAAGTCCGGGGGGGGTAGAGTCTATTCTCTTTTTAGAGAGGAGAATTTATCTTGACCGTCTTGAAGCTGTCCTCTCCACTGCTCGTGCAAACATCCCACCCTCCCACCCGCAACTTGGTCGCAAGACATCTTCAGACAAGACCGTGACGGTAGGTACTACATGGCA